AGTAACAATTACTATTTAAACTAGATGGCAATGTATTGGACATCGGGGCACACCTAAAAGTAAATTCCCTGAAAACTGCAACTGATGAAATTAACAAGTCATGCACAGATAGTTTCAAAAAATGCTGTGGAAATGTGGTCTTTTGACACGAGTAGCAGCACAAATATAGCTGAAAGATTATCTTTTGCGGATTAACATATGTTATTGTCTTATAACAATGGGAGAAGGTGCTTTCAACATACTGAGCCAAACTTTGAACTGCTTGGTTCCAACCATTGTGTATATGTTTGTTAAAGAGTCAATAAGATGTTAATGATGGAATGAGTTGCATTATCCATCAGGAGGCTCTGTGGTAGCCTGGGGCATAATATCTGTGAATGGGCTTGGCTGTCTTCACAAAATTAATGGAATCATGAATGAGCATAAATACCACAGAAAGAAACTCACAAAGAGATAATGACCCCAAACACACTTCCAAGTAATGTCGAGTTTATTTGGTAAAGAAAGAAAACTCAGATCTCCAGCAAGTAGCTACCACAAAGTCTGGACCTTAACCCATGCTCAATAAGTTTCAACTGTACTAAAGGAAACCTCTGGACACAACGTCAATAAAAATGGAATTAGATTATACCAGGCTTTGAGAAAATAGACAGAAAAGATTCCAAGCTCACTGATGTCCAAGGTGGCCATCTAACAATCCTCAAAACACATACCACCATTGCTAAGATCTGATACTTACAACATGCTGTAAGAAAGGCAGCCATCTTTCTAGACTTCCACCAATACTTGTTCAGATACTACTATACATCTGTGAACAAGTATCGATGGAACCCTAGAGAGATGTTTGCCTTCCTGCAGCATGTTGTAATTATCAAGGTCATCTGTTTACACAAGAAATAGGTGGCTGACAATACTGTATAACACTGAAATCTCCCACAACAGCTTCTACAAGAGCAGTGAAAGTTCACACATGATTTCTACTTTCCCACGAATCATTAATATCAAAACTGTATACGAACTCTTGCTAAATGTAGTGACTTTTTTTCAGGCTCTGAAGCAATCCTAATCTCATACGATTTGTCAACAAAATGATCATTCCTTACAAAAATACACATTATCAAACATACAAAAGAATAAGCCTTCCCGATATTGTACTTTTGTAACTGTTGCCTAGCATCAGTGAGTGAATTTACTCTCATGACACACAAGTACGAATGTGAGTTATGGCTGTAGGCATTTTTAGTAATACAATTAATTGTGAGGTTATATGTAACATAAAAAAAGTTTATTTTCTATACAATGATACCTACCTAAACCTATTTAACACTGAAGGTTAATGTGAATGAGTAACTATACAAAATATAATAACCTTCCAGCACTGAAATTGTTATACAGATTGGGATTTATTTGAGGCACGGCCAAAGTTTTGTGGATATGAAGTATCCACTCATTTTTTGCTGTGACAGGAATATCAAACTCTTTGAAACCCAATGTAGTGTGACAGAGACTTAAAAAGACCATTAATGATCAGTAATATAAATACTAATGAGTTTGTTTGTTGATTTTTCAGTTCAAAGCTACACAATGGGCTATCTGAACTCTGTCCACCATAGGGAATTGAACTCAAACTTACCACGGACCTATTAATGAAATTAATCTAGTCTGCATGGGAACTGCTGATACAATCCCTAAGGCATCAAATATAAAAAAAATACTTTCCATCTTAAGCTTTTCATATACATTGAGACAAGATTGTTAAAGTCAACATGAACTTGTAATTTATCAGCACTGCTACCTTCAGTGATCTAAAGCTCATGACAGCAGCACCCCCAGTTGGATGCTGGTTAAATAAAGTAAATTAACAAGCATGGTTTAGATCAATAGAACCAACAATTGTATTATAATTTAAAAACAGTAAAAACGGTTATCACAAGACGAAATGTATAATAACTTTATTAATATAAAATCAGCTGTGGGAAGATATTTATGTTGTAGTTTAAACAGTAATTGTTACTCCTCGATGTCCAATACATTGCCATCTAGTTTAAATAGTAATTGTTACTCCCCGATGTCCAATACATTGCCATCTAGTTTAAATAGTAATTGTTACTCCCCGATGTCCAATACATTGCCATCTAGTTTAAACAGTAATTGTTACTCCCCAGATGTCCAATACATTGCCATCTAGTTTAAACAGTAATTGTTACTTAAGGAACTTTTTTTCTTGTCCTCAGCATTAGCTGATGTTATACGGCTGGGTTTTCTTGTATCTCTCCAGTGTTTACTTCCTGTCCTCAGCATTAGTTGATGATATATGGCTGGGTTTTCTTGTATCTCTCCAGTGTTTACTTCCTGTTCTCAGCTTTAGCTGATGTTATACGGCTGGGTTTTCTTGTATCTCTCCAGTGTTTACTTCCTGTCCTCAGCTTTAGCTGATGATATACGGCTGGGTTTTCTTGTATCTCTCCAGTGTTTACTTCCTGTTCTCAGCTTTAGCTGATGTTATACGGCTGGGTTTTCTTGTATCTCTCCAATGTTTACTTCCTGTCCTCAGCTTTAGCTAATGTTATATGGCTGGGTTTTCTTGTATCTCTCCAATGTTTACTTCCTGTCCTCAGCTTTAGCTGATGTTATACGGCTGGGTTTTCTTGTATCTTTCCAATATTTACTTCCTGTCCTCAGTTTTAGCTGATGTTATATGGCTGAGTTTTCTTGTATCTCTCCAATGTTTACTTCCTGTCCTCAGTTTTAGCTGATGTTATATGGCTGAGTTTTCTTGTATCTCTCCAATGTTTACTTCCTGTCC